TCTCCAGGTCTCGCATGGTGCGCCCTTTTAATTTCAGTGTTCCCTAGAATCCTCCCTGTAGCTCTCGTGCCCCTCCATGTTCTCTTCTCTCGCACACACCACTTACTTTAAACACCCTGTGCCGTTGACTCCCGGGCTGGATCCCCAGACCCCTCTCAGTGACTCCAGGGGTCCCCTGGACATGCGCTGACCAGCCTCTCCATGCCACCACCCCTTTCCTCCGAGGCGCGGTCGTGCCCTCCCTCGCACGTCTGTCTTTGGGACTCACCCTTCGGTGACAGCTGAAATACCTTCTCCTTTGTGCAGTTTTCCAGTTTCCCGGGGAGAGAGGAGCACTGGACTGAATACATAAATAAAGGGGATGGGAGGGAAACAAAGCCCTGGGCTAGACGGTCCCAGTGGTCCTCCCTGGCCGTCCGAGTCCACGTTCCCTTGTGGGTGCTGGGTTCAGTAGGTATTGTTCTCAGCAGCGACAGTGGAGCTCCAGAGACAGAAGCACAGAGAAGGCGGCGGTCACCAGCCATTCCCTCTTGTCTTTCAGTTTCACGCGTGTGAGATGGTGCTGGAGGAAGAGGGAGTCTATGGAGGTGAGAGAAGGCCACTGTGAGTGGAAACGGGGAGCACGAAGAAGGGAATGATCGCTGGCTCCCTGTGTCTGCCTGTGGGCCTGGGAGGAGGGGAGGCTCCTGACGAGGGGGGGCCAGAGAGGGCCCTAAAGGGAGGGCCGAAGGGGATGCCAGGTGCCGCCGTTCCTATCTTCCGAGACTCCTTCTCACAGGGAGAGCACACCCTCCGTTCTGATTGCCTCTGCATCCGGCACAGTGCTCCCCGTGCTCCTGGCTGGAACTCCCAACTCCGCCTGTGCCGGGACCCGGGGGCCTCCTTGGCCTCCTGTGGTTGCTCCCCTCCTCCCCCCTCCCCCTCACCGTGTGCTGCTCCCTCCTTTCCTCCTGCCTTGGGCACTTCACACATGCTGTTCCCGTTGCCGAGAATATTTTCCACCCTCAGCTTTTTTTTTTTCCATACCCAAATTTTACTCAAATTCTAAGCTTAAATCTCGCTTGTCTTCCCTCTGCCCTGGCACCCCTATACTCTTCCATGCTCTCTATAGTTGAGGTTCGATCCCTGAACATTTGTGCTCCTGGATTCCTCTTCTAGCTCCGTGGGGCACAGCCGTGATGAGATGTGTCTGGTGCGTTTCCACTAGATTGAGGTTCTCTCGCGGAAGATGGGGAGTGTGTCCATTCCGTTCACCACAGTACCCCCAGTGCCCCAGTGCCTGCGCCTGTGTGCCTTCCTGTCAGTGTTTGTCCACTAGGGAATGATGTTTCCTCAGCACTTTTGTTGGCGCCCTCACGCACACACACCCCTTACCATGTGGTGTGGCTGTGGTGTACGGGTCTCCTTTTGTTATCAGACCGTGAACTCCTTCAGGGCACAGACTCTGTCTTAAACTTATCTTTGGGTGTCCCGTGCTTCGTGTCATGCTGGGCATGTGGCAGGTGCTCCGATATTTCGGCATGACTGTGGGGACCGACCTTCTCAGCGCGGAGCCCCGTGCCTTCGGCAGGGAGACTCACGCCGTCTGTACCCGCAGATGTGAGCTGTGACGAATGGGCCTTTTCTTTGCTACCTCTTGATGTGGATCTGTTGAGCATGGAGCTCCCAGAATTTTTCAGGGACTACTTCCTGGTAAGTGCAGGGTCCTTGGGTCTTGGCATTGACAGGTGGGGACAAACATGGAGTCCAGTGGGCTACAGTGAGCCGGAAATACTGATGGAACCTTCCCCTAACTCGAGATACTGGTTTCTAGATCAAATGCTACTGGTTGATGTCCGCAGGCCTTGCTCTGGGGCCAATCAGAATGAAAGCTTTCAAGCAGTCCCCACACCCTGCCTTCCTGCCCTAGCCCCTCTCCAGATGGGTCTGCTGGCTTGGCCCATATCTTTGTGGCCCATATGGCCCCTGCAGGAGGGAGATCAGCGTTGGATCAACACCGTGGCGCAGGCCTTACACCTCCTCAGCACTCTGTACGGACCCTTCCCTAACTGCTACGGAATTGGCAGATGTGCCAAGGTGGGCACTGGCAGCAATCTTGTCCCGATAGCCCCCATTCCACCCATTCTCTACCCACCAAGGACTGCCCATGGGCATGTGTGATAAGAGGTATATTCTTTAGCTTGCTTTTCTTGTTCTGGAATAGGTCCTCAGAGAGGAGGACTTGTGTGGCTAACGGAAAGGCCAGGGCCAGGGCCTCGGGGGTAACACTCCTACATGTCTTCCTTGGGGCCAAGGACACGCCTCTATGGGCATGGGGAGGGGCAAGGGGTGGGAACAGGTGCGGGTGCAAGAGTTCATATTGTTAACAATTAGTTTCCCTCCTGGGGTCAAATAGAGGTGTCATGTGGAAAAGAGGGCTTCAGTAGGTGCGGGCTGTCACAGGGACCTGGACACAAGACTGGGAATTTCCTGGTCCCTGGCAGATGTCGTATGAATTGTGGAGGATACTGGAACAGGAGGAGGATGGCGAAACCAAGGGCCGAAGGCCAGAAATTGGACACATCTTCCTACTGGACAGAGGTACATTATACTCAGCACTCCCGTTGTCTTTGGACCCTCGGAGACGTGAGGATATGGCGAACGTGGCGGCCCAGATGGGATCCTCAGGTTGGGGCTGTGAATGCCATCGTTGATGGGGAGTGTGGCGCTTGGGCCCTCTGGAGGCACGGGAGCTGACGCGGAGTGAACTGGGTAGACGTATAGGTCCGGGAGGACCCTCATGGGTGGGGATCTCATTTCAGACGTGGACTTTGTGACGGCACTTTGCTCCCAGGTGGTTTACGAGGGCCTGGTGGATGACACGTTCCGCATCAAGTGTGGTGAGCGGCGTCCCGGCAAGATGGAGGTGGTGCTTGGCGGCCGGGGCCTCTTGCGTGGGGCAGGGCTGGTGGGAGAGCCCCAGACTCAGAGCCCACTGCTAGCTTCCAGATAGTTCAGGGACTTTTAATGGCAGTTCGGGAAAGGGTAGGAGAAAGAAGGCCTCAGCGGAGGTCCTCATAGCTGCTCCCTCTGCTCTCAAAGGGAGTGTCGATTTTGGCCCAGAAGTCACATCCTCTGACAGGAGCTTAAAGGTGCTACTCAATGCCGAGGACAAGGTGAGGGGATGGGTGCTGGCTGTGGGCTTGCCTGGGGCGTGGGCCCCGGCTCTGGGAGGGGAGGCTGAGCCTGTGGGAGATGGATTCCCCACCGGGAGCGAGCACACCCCGAGCGCGGAGCTGCTATTTGACACACACTTAGAAGATCAGCTCAGCTTTCTCCGTGATTTTGCTAGAACAGCTGGGCGCTGCTCTCGTGCACTCATCACACTGCTCAGGGAGGAGGCGCCGGTTAGGTGTCTCTCTGGTAAGTCGTTGCCGTCTTGTTCCCCTTGCAGGTGTTTAATGAGATTCGTAATGAACACTTCTCCAACGTCTTTGGGTTTTTGAGCCAGAAGGCCCGGAACTTACAGGCTCAGTATGACGTGAGGCTCTGGGCCGGGGTCCTCTGTTCTGTTTCCCCAGTGGCCTCCCAAGGCTGCTGCCCTTCGGCTCCCTTCTGATACGACGACAGCCCCCTGTCTTTTCTCTTGCATCGGGGGGATCCGGGGGAGAGGGGTGGCTGCTCGTGTCTGAGGGCCGGGAGGCTGAGGCTGACGTTAGGGGATCTTCCGCCAGCGCCGGAGAGGCATGGACATCAAGCAGATGAAGAACTTCGTGTCCCAGGAGCTCAAGGGACTGAAACAGGAGCACCGCCTGCTGAGCGTCCGTAGGTTTCATGAGGGGAGGGCAAAGGGATGCCTCAGAGATCTCTCCCAAGAGAGGAGCTCTCTGTTCACCCAGCACACAGTGATCTTGCTTGGTCTGACATGGGAAGAGGGGCTTCTGCATTTTGCCTTAAGAAGTTTTGTTTGTTTGTTTGTTCGTTTGTTTTGTATACTTCTATAGGTTTAACGGCAGTAACGATTACAGCGTTAGATAATTTTATTACATAGTTGAAGCGCCAGGTATCATTCTAACTAATTTATACGCACTCTCTCACGTAATCACATAACTGTCTCCAACATGGCCAGTAAGAAGTTTTTATTCTTCCGGACATAAAGGCACATCCTTTTAGAACCAGGAGTACGTCAGCTCGCTTTTTGTCCTATCTGTAGATATCGGGGCCTGTGAATCCATCATGAAGAAGAAGACCAAACAGGACTTCCAGGAGCTCATCAAGACCGAGCACGGTAGCTGCGGCGGTCCTGCTGGGCTCCTGCCCCTGCTAAGGCTTCCCTTGCTCCCAGCCCCGTCCCACCCGGCAGAGATGCCTTCTGGCTCCTTTCGGCCGATGCTGGCTGTGGGGAGTGCTGCTCCCTGCTAGAAGTCCTGGGGGTCCTTAACCCACCCCAAGGATGGAGAAAGATGGGGAGATAGACACCTGTCAGCACAGGTGGCAACCCCCCCCCCAACTACCTTCCCCCCACCCCAGCCCCGTAATAGGCTCCCCTGTGTTTACTCACAGCGCTGCTGGAGGGCTTCAACATCCGGGAGAGCACCAGCTACATTGAAGAACACATAGACCGGCAGGTGAGCAGGTGGCCGGGGTTCCGGGAACGGTGTTTCGCGGTGGGGTTGGCCTCCAGCGGGAGGAAGGGAGAGAACGTATGTCCTGAAACTTGAACTGTCTTTGACTCTTTCTTCCCGTGTAGGTGTCGCCTATAGAAAGCCTTCGCCTCATGTGCCTTTTGTCCATCACTGAGAATGGTGAGCCCCTGGAACCGAAGACGCCAGATTGCAAAAACTGTACCTTAGGGATGGCAGAAATCATTTTGAAGGACGGAGACGAATGTCCTAGCAGACAGAACGTTTCCCAGTAATTTGGATTCTTTCCCCCATAAAATAAAGCAGTTTTTGTTCTGAGTGAGACACCCCACGTCCTAATTTATCATCCTGACCCTAAGCAGGACCACAGCCAAGTCCCCACCACAGGCCCCGTCACATCGTAGGACCGCAGAGGCTTAGCGCAGAGTGGCATTTATTCCATCTGGCCTCCTGCCTTCAACGAAGTTTCCTAATGAAGATACAGTCCAGGAAAAGGGGACAGCCTTTTGGAATTGCACAAACATTTCCAAAAGCTCAGATCCTGCGACCTTTTGTGGCAGACCTTTTAACCTGCTTATGCAGCCTTTTCACCTGCTTTTTTTTCAGCGGGAATTATAGTTGGCACACGATGTCACGTTAGTTTCAGGTGTGCGGCACCGTGCGCGGGACGCTGGGCTCCCCACAAGGGCAGCTACCGCCTGTCACCATACAGCGCTGTTACAGTGCCATTGACTATTCCCTGTGCTGTGCCATTCTTCCCCGTGACTTACTCATCCGCGGCCGGAGGCACCTTCCACTCCCTTCACCCTTTACGGCAACTCGTGTGTACGGCGGAAGCCGTCCAGGTGGGGACTAGTCTTCAAGGCTGCTTTCCGCCCCGAGGAGTGGTCGGCTTATTCTACATCTCCTTTGACTATCAGAGTCGCAAGCCCATTCTCCCTACCTCCCTGGAGGAAAGCATGGCAGGCTGCACTTTTGGACTTCATCTGAACATCTGTCCTATTCCTCGGTAGCGGTAGCGGTAAAGTGATTCGCAGTAGCGCAGGAGCCCCCTCCCTCCTGCCGCATCCGTCCGCCACCCCCGCTGGGAGCAGCCCGCCTCCCCGCGTCCCTCCCTCTGCGCCCTGGCGGCTCAGGCAGGACTCTGCCTTGGAACTCTCAGATCCAGGCTCTGTCTCTCACTGAGCAAGCTTAAATTTAAGAGTCAGTTTAGAATCGACTGGATAGGATGCAAGGTTAACATTTACCGATTCCTTTCCTCCTGATTAAGGGTTTTTTTGGCAGCAAGAGGATGGGTGGGTGGGTGGGTGGGTGGTCTGACTGTAGATTTTAGGACACTTCAGCTGGTGTTTGCAGGAGCCTGTCTCCTCTTCCTTACCAGGTTTGATTCCCAAGGATTACCGATCTCTGAAAACACAGTATCTGCAGGTAAGGCCAGGAGAATGCACTCGGGGGAACTCGGTGGAGGGAGGTCATGGGACGTTCCTAAAAGACACAGAAGAAATGGCCCCTTTCCTGTCTGTGTCCCCATTTTGTTCCCCGTCTGCCTCCCTCTTAGAGCGTCTCAGGACGGTCACCTTTCAGCACGTGGAGACCCTCCCACGCCCTTGTCTCTCCCACTCTCGGTTCTCTTGGTGGATGGCCAGTGCTGGGAGAACTGGAGCCATAGAGCTGAGTTCTCACCCCTGGGACTCTCCCTCACTTCAGCGCCTTGGAAGGCGTTGATACAGCTTTCCTTCTAGGTCTTTCTCCAGTCTTACCTCATCTGTGAAGCCCTTCCCACCACCCTTACATCACTGGCCTTCTCTGTTCTCTCTCAGTTCCGTGCTTTTTTTTTTTTTCTTTTTTGTTTGCTGTTTGGTTATTTCTTCAGGGCACAGAATACATGACCCTTCTGTCCCTCACCTCCATATCACCCAATGTGATACGGTGTGGCGGGCGCGCAGTAAGTGGCTGAATTGCATTTCCTTCAGAGCTATGGCCCCGAGCACCTGCTAACCTTCTCCAATCTGCGGCGAGCGGGGCTCCTGACGGAGCAGGCCCCTGGGGACACCCTCACGGCCGTGGAGAGTAAAGTGAGCAAGCTGGTGACGGACAAGGCTGCGGGTGAGCACAGGGCACGGGTAGCCTCTTCCTTGGCCCGAGTCCCCTCTTCTCACAACAGGCAGAGCACCCCGGGAGGGAGAGAATGAGCTGGGGAAGGAGAACAGGATTCTTCACTCTCACTGTCATTACCGCTGCTTCCGCCGCGAGCAGGCTCCACGTATTGTCCGCTTACTGAGTACTAAGACCTTTAGGTAACAGTTTGTCAATCCTCACAAAGTAAGTTCATAATCTCCATTTTATAGATAAGGCAACAGGCTTAGAGAGGTTATGTGACTTGTTCAACATCCCTCAGTAAGTCAGATTTGAGCCCAGGTCAGTTTGACTCCAGGGCCCACACACTTAGCCAGTAAGCGAGGTTCACCCCGCGGGTTGCGCTTAGTAGATAGTTGGCACCCTGTAGGAGGCGGGAGACCGTGCTGGGGAGAAGGGTGGTGGTGTCTTGATCGGGTCTAGGGAATTCTGGGTGAATGGCTTTGAGGAGAGTCTTGAGACGTGAGCGGTCCCGCCGTTTGTCATTTCCTGAGTGCTTTCACCTGTGGCGATGTCATGACCCTGTAGACCTTAAATGAAATCCAGCACAGATTTCCTTCCCAGGGAAGATTACTGATGCCTTCAGTTCTCTGGCCAAGAGGAGCAATTTTCGTGCCATCAGTAAGAAGCTGAATTTGGTACGTAGGATCGGGACAGACAGGGCAGCCGTGGGTCCAGTCCTTTGTGGAGTGCTTTGAATTCACACAGACCTCTCTGTTGTTTTGTTCTTACAAAGATCCTTCTGTTCAGTAGCGTTACAGCATGAGCTTAATTTAATAATGAGACAAGCAAGGCACAGGGCACTGGGGTGGCTCGGTCGGTTAAGCGTCCGACTTCGGCTCAGGTCACGATCTCACCGTTCGTGAGTTCGAGCCCCGGGTCGGGCTGTGTACTGACAGCTCAGAGCCCGGAGCCTGCTTCAGATTCTGTGTCTCCCTCTCTCGCTCTCTGCCCTTCGCCTGCTCCCACTCTGTGTGTGTTTCTCTTTATCTCAAAAATAAACATTGAAAAAATTAAAAAGTACCGAGGCAAGACACAAAGATTCATTTACTTGATAAACATGTAACAAGCACCCGCCAATGCCAGAGGATAGGCTGAGTGCCACGTCAGTGACAGACCTGTCCCATGTCACCAAGAAATCAGCAAAGGGGCATCTTTCTTTCCAGCCCTTCACAGGGAACGTGGGG